AAAAAAAAAAAAGAAATGGAAAGGCAAGTCTCAAATTAAACAACAGACATATTCAGGCAGTCCTCAGTTTAAGACATGTGCTTATATGGTGGCTGTTTGGAATCCAAGACGCATTTTCTCTTCGAAAGAACCTGTGTGATGAGCTTCTACGGCCTGTGTACCAACACGTATGTAACCTGCAAACTGAGCATATGACACCACTCCAACCATGCCTCACAGCCCCTTGTAGCCGGTCTCCTCCCGGAGCGTGCGTGGGGCTCCGGCTGAGGATGGCATCTCGCCTCGCTCTGGAGCGGCGCTCTTCCCACTCCTCCCCCCTCGGACTGAACACTTAGCTAAGAGACATGCTGTCGGTCACACAGGCCCTGAAGTGGCTCCTGTGCCATTAGCCTGTCGGGCCCCAGCGAGACAGATGTTCCTGGACACTCCCCAACTCTACGGTAGCTAAGGAGAAGGAAGAATGCTCCTGAGATACTTATCAAACATTCTGAGCACCTCGGAAGAGCCTCCTCAATCTGTGCTGGGTGCTGAAAATACAGAGAACCGTAGAACGTGGTCTCTGCCCTTCAGAAGCCACTGTCCAGTGGGACAAATAGACACAGAAGTCCGAGCTTACAGTACGATGTCCTAAGTGCCACGGGAGGGACAATGACGTTATTATAAAGTGAAGGCTATGTGTTGGGCTCTTCCTTTAAGAAGCTTTTATATAGGGGCGCCTGGGTGGCTCAGTTGGTTGAGCAACTGCCTTCGGCTCAGGTCATGATCCTGGAGTCCCGGGATCGAGTCCCGCATCGGACTCCCTGCTCAGTGGGGAGTCTGCTTCTCCCTCTGATCCTCCCCCTCTCATGCTCTCTGTCTCCCACTCTCTCTCAGATAAATAAATAAAAAATCTAAAAAAAAAAAGAAGCTTTTATATAGTACTGGTTATGTACCAGGTGCTATTTTAACTGCTTACAAACCTCAACACATTCATCGCCATCTGAGACTGGTACTGGGATTGTCCAAGTTTTACAGATGAGAAGCTGGGAGGTTGAGTTGCAGATACGGGATCTGGACCCAGTCGGTCTGCAGTGATGAGCAGATGAGAAAACACGAATCACAGCTCTGTGACAAAGGTCTGTTGTGCCTGTTTGACAGACAGGCCCCCGAGGCTCTCCTCCTGCCCACTGCGATGTGCGGCTTCACGCTGCCATGGAAGCAGAGGCGATTCATCCGCTCAGACCAGGGGTTGGAGCTGGCTTCCCAGAGGGGTAGTTCTTGAGGTGTGTGGGAAGTATGACTTGGAGACAGGTACTCTGGGCAGTAGGAAGAGCGTGTGCCAAGATTCAAAGGCATTAAGGACAGGATAGAAATGGGAACTATACGTGATTCACTAGGACCAGAGGGGACGCCAGTGTGAACAGGAGACAAAGCTAGGAAACGCAGGCAGGAGCAGTACGCAGTCCCATTGGGGTTACAGATTTAAGTATGAAGTGACGTCATCAGATTTGGCGATGCCTTGGTGGGACGCCAGATCATTAGGTGAACTAATTAGGAGGCCATCACAATAACCAAGGCAGTAAGTCTCAACTAAGGTACTGGCCCTTAGGATAGAGAAGAAAAAATGCGTTATGATAGGTTTCTTTGTATAGGGATTTGTCTTCACTGTTCATTAGCCCTGGACACCCCCCATCACCTGTAGGGTAAAGCCCAAACCCTTTGGATGGCCGACAAGAGCCGGTTCCATCTGAGTGGAGCTTCTCTTTTGGCAGGAAGCTTCCCTTAGGGCATGTGGGCAGGTGGCCGTGGGACACCAGCCTGCTCGCTGTCCCCTCACAGGCTGTGGTCCTAACTCCTCTATGCTTTTCCAAAGGCTGTTTCCTGGGCCTCTCAGATGCCCTCTTCTTTGTCCTCTTGGCGAACTGTTACTCATTCAAAACCCATCTCAAAAGCCCCCTCATTGACTTAACAAACGCTGAGCATCTTTTCGTGGAGATCCTCTTGGTATGAGATGCTTGGATGACACACAACACGGCCATTGGTGAATTCAACTGCAAGACGCCCTTCTTTTTCTTATTGACTTGCTCCATTCCACATCCATCTTCTACCAGGGATTCTCAGACTTTAGCATGTGTCTGGATCACCTGAGAATCTTGTTAAAAAAGCATATCCAACGTCAGTGGTTCTGGGTTAGGACCTGACATTCTGCATTTCTAACAAGATCCCAGGTGATGCTGATGCTGGTCTGCAGGCTGCATTTGAAGAGCAAGGCTTATACATTTTCTCAGTATAGTCTGATGAAAAAGCAATAAAAGCAATAATTTTTGTTTTTCTACACCAGACTCTTTGTTGAGGTAAAATTTACATACAGTGAAATGCACAGGATTTAAATGTACAATTCCATGGGTTTGGACAAATGTATACACCCCTGTGACCCAGACCTCTCAAGTACATTCACAACGTTGCCAGAAAGTGCCCTTGTTCCCCTTTCCATTTCATCCTCCAAGTAAAGAGAAACCCAAAATGAGGCAGTACAAGGAAATAGCTTTCTGATTCAGGAGGCTTGATCACAGGATAAATTTAAAGAGGGGCAGGAAAAACTACACATCGTTCAGGCACTCCTACATAAAGAATATCAACGACTGATCTAACTAATAATAGTTGGAGCTTTATCCTCGTGTCTTCGTTCATTTTTCGGTAAAGAACGGCTCATACCCGGACCAGTGTTTTGCATGGACTAGCCCTGTGCTCAGGAAGCTAGCTCAGGCCTCGCAGGGGAAACAGACAAGGAGCCTGGGGGAGGCTTCCGGCACACAGGGCATCCCTGTCTCGGCCAAAAGTACAAAAGTACTTTGTAGACAAAGTACACAAGTCATTCATAAGTCTCACTCTTGCACGGCAATTTGCAAAACTTCCCTTAGGGATCTCCTCTCTTCGCAACGGCCCCATGCCAAGACAGGTACGACCATTCCCCTCTTATAGCTATGAAAACGGAAGCTTGGAGAGATCATCTAATGGTCACACGTTGGCAAGTTGCAACGGGAGGCCTTAGCTCCCTGGAAGCGCTCATGCAGGTTGTGGCCAGCTGGGTGGCAGGAATCACAAGGTGCTCATCCTAGGAGCCCAGACACTAGCCCCGGCTGGAGCGGTAGGCTGGGCTCACAGGAGCTGGCCTCTGGTATCCTTGATGACCCACTCCCTCCCGGGAGGGGAATCTTGGGCTCTGGTGCAGTCCCCTCGGGGGCATCCCCTGTGTGCGGCCCCCACAAAATGGCTGTTCTAATCGCCACCCACGCTCCCTTGTGTTTTAGCATTTTGGCGCCCTGCTCCTGCACCATGAAAATCCTGCTTTGTGATCTCCTGCTGCTCAGCCTCTTCTCCAGCGTGTCCGGCAGCTGCCAGAAGGACTGCCTGACCTGCCGGGAGAAGCTCCGCCCAGCTCTCGACCCCTTCAACCTTGAGGTAGGCCCTGGAGCATCCCTGTCTTCTCCTCCCCCCTGCCTCCAGACCCAGAACGAGAAGGCACGGCCTTGCCCGGAGGTGACGTGACTCGCCTGGTGTCACGTGGTCCGCAGGAAACAGGTGCAGGGCGTTCCCATCTTCTAAGGGCAAACCCTGTCATCTTCCCACTTTTCCACACTCAAATAAAGGCCTGCCTGTGCTGCCATTTTGTTCCCGTTATTAAAATAATGCATACTCATCTTGGAGAATTTGGCAAATTCCGAGAAGTCTAAAAAAAAGAAAAGAAAGAAAATTACCTTTAATCCCAGAGATTGTTGGAGAAAGAACCCTAGTTTTTTCACTTGCTATATTATACCAGCATAATTTCCCCATGTTATTAAACATTATTTTAAGTTCCTTCTTTCTACGAATACAGTATAATTTGCTTAACTATTCCCCTCCTGGTGAACATCTACATTGCCCTCCATTTTTGATATTATAGGTAATTCTACAATGAATACCTTAATGCTCCCTTATACTTTAAGTTTTGAACTTGAGGTGCAAATCTGGCATTAAATTTCTTTTCATTAAATAAACTGCTTTCTCAACTGCTTTCATGTCAGTCTAAATAGTTATTCCTCTAGTAAATCCAATACAATACAACTCAATTATTTTTTTCTTTGCAGTCAGACTTCTTTCAAAAGATGTCATATTTCAAACCCCTCAACCTTTATTTTTTTTAAGATTTATTTATTTATTTTTAAGATTTTTTTTTTTTTATTCATTTGAGAGAGAGAGAGTGAGAGCACGAGCACAAGCAGGGGGGAGGGTCAGAGGGAGAGAAAGAAGCAGACTCCTTGCTGAGCGAGAAGCCCAAAGCAGGGTTCAATCCCAGGACCCCAGGATCATGACCCAAGCCCAAGACAGATGGTTAACTGACTGAGCCACCCAGGCACCCCTTCTTTATTTATTTTAAAGAGAGAGAGAGAGATTGGGGGGAGGGAGAGAGGGAGAGAATCCCGAAACAGTCTCCCCACTGAGTGTGGAGCCTGACTCGGGCTCGATCCCAGGACACTGAGATCATGACCTGAGCTTAAATCAAGAGTCAGCCACTTTAACCAACTGAGACATCCAGGCGCCCCTCAAGCTGCTCAACCTTTAAAAACAACCAAAAGTAACTACTGTCCCTTAAGGCGAGTGTGCAGATATAGAACATATATTCACACTGGGCAGGCTCACTAACGATGAGCAGACACAGCCCCCACAGACCCGAACACCAAGCTCTTCCCGCACCTGCTCAGTGGTTTTCGAGCCTGTTTTCTATATGCTGAGCCCAGGGCCAGGCCAAGGGATCCAAAGGTAAGCAGATGGATGGAGTTTGCAACCAGTGGGAGAGAAGATCCCACAATCCCTCCAAGAGGGATTAACTACTGGGTGCTGGGGAAGCACAGAGCAGTGGCCCCCAACCTAGACTAGAAAGACAGAGGGGGCTTTTGGAGGAACAGAAGTATCTAAGGAGACCTAAAGAGTGGGAGCAAAGAGGCAGGGAGATTGCTTCAGGGGGAGGAGGGAGGCAGGGAGCACCCGAGAAAATGCCTGTACCTGGATGGGAAGTGGCATGTAAGGAACCTAAAAAACTGAGTTTGGAACCCAGGAGGCCCAGAGGCCTTTGCGGTGCAGCCCAGAGAGGTTTAGAAGTTCATCTACGGAACACTTTCCCCTGATCTTAGTAAACAGAGCAGACAACTTAGTTTACATGTAAACCAGTGACGAGTTGATAATCTGATAATCACCACCCTGCTCAATTCTCAATTTGCAGTCTAGACAAGACAGAAAGTCATGCACAATTCTGGAATCTTTCATGGCAACCCTTTATTTTCCGCTCAAAAAAAGCATTAGGACTTAAACATATTTGTGCACCCAGGGAGGAATCTACACTTGCAGCTTTGACCCCCTTGTGCTGCATCACTCCTTAGCTGCTGTCTCCGGGGTCTGGGGCCAGTTTGCAGGCTTCCTCCTCCTTGTCCTCTCCTGGTGACCCTTGCCTGGGTCTCTTCCCCATTCCAACTCTTCTTTTTCTACTTCCTGTTGGGCTCCTACTCCCCTCCCCACTCCATAAACACAAGTGACCCCCAAGATTCGGGGCTTATCTCCCCATACCCTGTCCTTCTGAGATGCCATCCCTGGATCCCAGGCCTTCGGCTCTCCCCAAGCTGCAGGTGACTCCCCAGGGTACACTCCTCGCCTCAGTCACTTTTCATAGTTCCTGACAAATCCCTCTTTCCCTTCCTGGCCTTCCCAAGGCTTCAGGAACTCACCCCACCATTCTGTGCATGTCTCTCTCTCCTCCTTCATCCAATACTCCTACTTCAAAACTCAGATTAAACTTCACCTATGAGAACACTGTGCTGATTCTCCACCTGTCCCCAGCAGAGCCAGCCCCTCGCTCCTTTATGTCCTGGCAGTTACTTGTGTCTGCCAGTCTCTCACCATAAGGTGTTTCTGACTGTGCTAGGGATCCCCAGCGTGCGGCACAGAGCCGTACTCAGTGAACAGGGTCCATGGTAATTGTAAGACTGCAAGATCCTTAGTCTCCTAGTGGGTCCAACCCCTGTAGATGCTGCAGAGTTTTTACATTGGTGTCTTCCAAAGCCAGTAAAGAATTTGGAGCACGCTTCCATCCCTCCCTTGCATCTTAAATCTCTGGGGTCCAGACGACGCTGTTAGATACTTCTTTGAAACAAGTTAGAATATGGCCAGTTAGAGCCTCACAGTGAGGAATAAATCTTTCAAAGTGCTTGCTGACCCTCAGAGGAGCTGACTGCCTGGCTGTTTTGTTTCTAGTTTGTATTCACTTTTAACCTATTTTTAAAAGTTTGGTGAAATGCCTAGAATGTTGGCAACCACATCTCATTTCCAAATCTTGCAACCCTTTTCCAACTCTGTGAATTATGGGGGCTGGGGGAACTGAGATATTTTAGCAAGGATCATCTTCCCAATCCCTACACTAAATTATGTAATACTGAGCTATTCCCAGGACTCCCTAAATCCTTGGCTTTATCAAGAAGTTCTGTATTTCTCACTCCAGATCAACGGTCCAAGTATGGCTGGCTTTTTGTTAGACTATAAGTTGGGTCGGTAAATGACTCATACACCCAAACCCATTGCAATGTCTTGGGCTTCCACCTATGAATGGTACCTACTCCATCAGCTTACATAGAAAAAACTAGATTCACCGAGTCGTTTTAGAGGCAAACAAGAAGGTAACCCTCAAGGTCTGGGGAATTTTATTTACAACCTCCTGAAACTTGATTAATAGCAAAAGAAACTAACTTCTAATGCTTTCTATCCTTCAATACAAGAAAATTCTTGTTGATTTGCAGTTAAGAGTTCCTAATATGGGGGTGCCTGGGTGGTTCAGTCGTTAAGCGTCTGCCTTCGGCTCAGGTCACGATCCCAGGGTCTTGGGATCGAGCCCCTCATCGGGCTCCCTGCTTGGTGGGAAGCCTGCTTCTCCCTTTCCCACTCCCCTTGCTTGTGTTCCTGCTCTTGCTATCTCTCTGTCAAAATAAATAAAATCTTAAAAAAAAAAAAAAAAAGAGGGCGCCTGGGTGGCTCAGTTGGTTAAGCGACTGCCTTCGGCTCAGGTCATGATCCTGGAGTCTCGGGATCGAGTCCCGCATCGGGCTCCCTGCTCGGCAGGGAGTCTGCTTCTCCCTCTGACCCTCTTCCCTCTCATGTGCTCTCTCTCATTCTCTCTCTCTCAAATAAATAAATAAAATCTTTTAAAATAAATAAATAAATAAATAAATAAATAAATAAATAAATAAGAGTTCCTAATATGTTTTTCTCTTGCACTATTCATCTGCTTGCCTACTAGTGTTAGCCCTCAGATATTCTAGCAGAACCTCCCAAAGCAAGTAGCTCCCAAATGTCTCTTGGTCAGAGGTGATTCGATCCTTTGGCAGAAACTTGACAATCTCAATGAGCCTCTTCTTTTCCTTCCAATGGGTTCATGTGCCTCTATTTCCCTAATGTTTGATCCCAGACCTCCAAATGGCCCTTTGCTCAGTTTCCCCACAAACCCAGCTTTACGGATCAATTTGGCACCAGTCTGAGACTTTCCAGATGCTCATCCACACTCTGGCTTAATATAGCAATGTCATCAGCGTGGGCTGTGAAAGTGTGTCCAGCTCACTTAATAGGCCATTAACCAGTCTCTGGAAAGAGGCCGTTGGGTCCCTTAGACCAGAGTGTTAGGCATTAAGCTCATCTGCCCATCTGGTGCTACAAATGCTGTTGTGAATTTGGATTCCTCACATTTGCCCAAAACCTTCTCCTAAATCAAGAGTTGAGATGATTTTGTTAGTATCTAATTCATCTAACAGTATGTTGAGTCTCTGTACAGCCTTGCATCTGGTTTGATCATAGAATTGTATTTTCTCTGATTGACACCTAATCTAATTACCATCTGGGCTTAGCAACCCAGGGGCTCACAGAAGATCTAATAGCCTCTAGGTTTAACAACCTCCACCTGTTCTTGTAAATGGAAGGAGCAGAATCGTTCAAAAAGCGTTTGGGGCTCCTATTCTGTGAGGAGTGGACCGAGTCTGCTCCAAGTCCATGTTAGCTCCAAAGTTGTACACTTCTGCTGGATTTCCCAATACTCCCCATGCTTTCCTGCTTTCCCCTGTAGAGTAGGATTCCTCACACTCACCACTGTGGACATTTTAGGCTGGATAATTATTTGTCATGAGGGGCTGTCCGGTGCATTGTGGGGGGTTTGCCAGCCTCCCTGGCCTCTGCTCATAGGTTAGCAGTGGCATCTCCCCTCCCCCTCCCCACCGTGTAACAACCAGAAATGTCTCCAGACATTGCCCAATGTCCCCTGGGGACAAAATTGCCCCCACTAGACACCCACTGCTATAGAGTAATCACCCAATAGGATTATGATCTGAAAGATCGTACTACAAGTTTTTATACCTGGTTTACTTCAAAGTATTTCAAGAGCAAGCTAAATACAGACCCAAGTAACCCTTTCTCTGAGGGAGACTCCGACCACTGTATTCCGTGATGACACCTTCCTCCTCAGGGCAAGTTCCAAAGCAGGATTTCTCAAAGCACAGTCCAGCCTCAGAATCACCTGGGTGTTTGCTAAAAATGCAGATTCCTCAGCCCCGCCCTTGACTTACTAGATGAACATCTCCAGGAGTAAAGGCTAAGGAGCTGCATTCTAACAAACCAGTAGCAATTCTCAGGTTTGTAGCTACTATTGTGTTAAAATCTGCCCTTCCCACCTATGTAGAAGCTGCTTTCATACCCAGGGACACTGGGGTGTGAAAAAGTGATTTCTCTATGTATCTCTGCTGAGTTGGCACCGATGATATTAGTTCTATCAGCATCTCTGCGGAAAATCTAAATGGAAAAGACATGCTCGTGACTTGTGTATCAGCAGGGACCACCGTGACTACCTCTGGCTAGTTGGGGCGGGGGGGAGACTCCGCAAAGGCTGCACCTGGGAAACTGCATCAGTGAAGAAGAGCGGCACTCCCACTGGCCACTGTCTCTTTCTCCTCTCTGGCCCAGCGGAAAATGAGCAATTTTCCCATCAGAACTTTACCTTTTAGTCTCGAAATATCCTTACCTACTCTTGTACTCATTTGCACCAATTTGCATTGCAACACACAGAGCTCACTGAATAGGAGATGTCCTGGGCTGGAACTCGAGACATTTGGGTTCTTGTTCAGGTAATATCTTGTCTAACGGTGTAGTTTTGGACACATTACTGAACCTCATCATAACATGAGAACATGGAATATGTCAGTGGTTACCAAACCTACGCAGATACCAGAATTACCTGAGCTTTGTAAAAGTAAGTTTAAATCCTGGTTCCATTCCTCAGGAATTTAACCGGCTTTTGAATTCCGTCTTTTTAAAAGTTCTGAGGGGCACCTGGGTGGCTCAGTTGGTTAAGCGTCTGACTCATGATCTCAGGGTCATGGGATTGAGCCCCACATCGGGCTCTGCTTCTCTCCCTCTCCCTCTGCCCCTCCCTGCCCCCATTCGCTCTCTCGCTCTCTCGCTCTCAAATAAGTCCTGAGATGATCTGGATTCACACCCAGACCAAGCAGAAGAGCAGACTTAAGGTGGAGAAAGTATATTAGATAATTAAATTCACCTGCCAGTAAGAAAGACCTAAAGTAACAGTGGCTTAAATAAGACAGAGATCTGATTCCTCATAAGGAAGCTGGGAGGTAGACGGTACGGGGCCGGGATGGCAGTTCTGACACATCAGCCATGTCCCAGGCTCCTTCTCCTTCTACTTCACCTGTATACCAGTGCTACTCTCACGTGGATTCCGTCCCCTCGGTCACTTCATGGCTTCAAGATAGCCCATTGAGCACCAGCCAAAACGCCCACATTCTAAGCGGGAGGCTGGAGGAAGGGGAGAAAGAAGGGAAAAAGGATGCTCTCCCCAGATAAGTCAGCCTCCTGCTTTCCCAGAAGCCCCACCTGGTTACTTCCACTTATATGTCATTGGCCATCTCTGGCTACAAAGGAGTTGGAGAAATATATGTGTGGCCTTTCTTCCTGAAGGAAGAAAACAAGTGTTCTGTTAGGAAGGAAGAGGGGAGATGGGTGTGGAAGGGACAACTGGCAGTCTCTGCCCCAGAGGGAATTCTTAACCAATTGCATTTAAAGTGCTAGTCAGACACTTTGAAGGAGATACCAGACAGAGATCAGAGAAGTGCTGGGAGTTCAATGTCAGGGGCTGGACATACAGACATGGGATGCCCTGAAAGGAATGACCAAAATCACAGAAATGAACAGTCACCAAGGGGCAGATTGTAAAGAGAGATGAGAAGAATCTTAAAGATAGAATCTTAGGAACACAGGAGGAAGGAGCACAAACAGTCTGAGAGGTGAGTGCAACGTCAGAGAATTTTCAGGAGGGTGTGGTCTGCATTGTCAAAGGCAGCACAGTCTGTGAAAATGAGGGCTGATTGGATCCGGTGACCGGGAATTCGCTGGTGGTCCTCGAGAAGGCAGCTCGTGGAAGATGAGGGCGGGAAGCAGATTTCAAGGAGATGAGGCAAAAATGGAAGATGCTGAGATGGAGGCATGAGTGCAGACCACGTCTTGGAGAAGCTTGGCGGGGACAAAAGAGGGTCAGGGTCAGGGGTGGCAAAGGGTTGTAGGAGAAGTAAGACTGGAAGAGCCATTTTTTCAGGTTTGGTGGGACAGCTGTAAGGTGTGTGATTTAGCTGCCTGCACATCGCACTCCTTGGTTAGGGATCAGGTTGGGAACTTTGCCCATATTGGTATCTGTTCCACTCTGGACATGGGGGGCAGGGTTTCAATCCCCAGAAAGGGGGTATCGGGCACACAGTCTTCTGATGTCCTGCAGCTGTCCAGACAGAGCAGTAACTCTTGATGCCCCGTTAGCCAGGCAAGAGCTCCAAGTTTGATGAAGGGCTCCGCGGCTGCCCACCGACCATGATGGCAAGGCCAGGTTGAAGTGGGATTTTCATCTGGATGAGCACAGAAACACAGAGAAGCGTTCGGGGTGAAACCCAAACAGCAGATAGTAAGAGAAGTTGGAGGTTAGATGCTTCCAAAAGACCCAATCAGAGACAGGAAAGTGGGAGGTAGGGGCAAGGCCAGGACCATTCAGGAGGGGTGTGGAGACATCATGGCCAGGCTCTCGGTCTAGACTAGAAGTGGGAGATACCTGAAGACACAGAGCAGCATGAGAAGTTCCCAGGGGCCTGGCAGGTCCACTGGATAGCATCTGACGGTCCCTCTTCCCCACCTGAACCCGATTGTCAACCTGCCTACATTCCAAAGGGTCTTGACCCTCGTTTTCTATAACTGATGCGCAGATAGTGATAACTAGTATATGTGGGATGAAAAATGAACACCACTAGGGTTCCTCTTAACATGGTGACCTTAAAATGGCCATGCAGATATAAGTACATGCTTTGACATCCGCAACTTCTTAAACCAATCTGACCTCTCTCAAGCCTCATAAGAGAACAAAATAAAATTCTCCATGATGGGTGACCCTCGTGAGTTGTGTTTGGCTCCAAAAACTCACCTAGGGCTCTAACTGGGTGTAGTTCGGGGCACTCATTCTGCGTTGACTTTCTGTGTCACCTGGGGTAAATTAATCTCACCTCTCTGAGTCCCAAGTTTCTTCATTTGTGAAATGACGGAGCTGGGACAGATAGTTTTCTGTGTCTCTGCAACTCTGAAATTCTATGAACCTGAGTAACTACATGTAAAACTGCTACACGGTCCTTAATAAAGAGATGCTTCAGAGTCACTTGCATTGGTACCGATGTGGATTTGGTATCCAACAGAAAGACTTTATGTCATTGCCTTGGACTAACAGACATTCCCAATCCTTCTCCTTTCTCCGGCCTCTGTCTTTGCAGGTGTGCATCCTTGAGTGCGAAGGGAAGGTCTTCAGCAGCCCTCTCTGGACTCCGTGCACCAAGGTCATGACCAGGGGCTCCTGGCAGCTCAGCCCTGCTGACCCAGAGCACGTGGCAGCTGCCCTTTACCAGCCCAGCGCCTCCGAGATGCAACTGAAGCGCATGCCTCGCATCAGGAGCCTAATCCAAGCCCAGAGAGGGACAGAGCCCGGCATGGATGAGGCTGGAGAGATGGAGCAGAAGCAGCTGCAGAAGAGGTTCGGGGGCTTCACCGGGGCCCGCAAGTCGGCCCGGAAGTTGGCCAACCAGAAGCGGTTCAGTGAGTTTATGAGGCAGTACCTGGTCCTGAGCATGCGGTCCAGCCAGCGCCGGCGCACCCTTCATCAGAATGGTAATGTGTAGCCGGAAGGGGAGCCCCCCCCAGCTGCACCGTCCACTTCAACCCATGAGTGAGTTGGGCACGAATGAGCTGGGGGTGAAAAGAAACCTTATATACCCAACTGTCTTAGCCTTCCTCCTGGGCCCGCAAGCACATTAGCCCCCAAATACACACACACACACCCCACACCACCTCAAGGTGTTCGGCTCCTGGGAGGCCGGGGAGGTATATATTCACCTCCCCCACCTCCTACCCACCCTTTCTCTAGGGAGCAAAGATCTTCCTAGGCTTGCTCCTTAAGGCTGACCACTGCCATTTAGAGACTGGTTACCATGGGGATAATAGTAGCACGTTAAGATAACTAATTCCTCCATAGCTCTCCAGGAGTTCAGTTACTATGGGGACAGTTAAGTGGACCAATCTGCCTATCCAGTTGCCATAGCAACCATTCAGTTCACCTTTCCTCAGAGTCTATCTCTAAGAACCCATAGCTGGACCTACCTCTAGCCATTTGCAGTCTGATTTCCGTGGCCGTGATGTTGCTATTTCACCTCTGAAGACAGCTTAGCTCTCTCCTCCCCTACCCCCTGTAGCTCGAGGGGACTGGATTCCACAGAAACCACTGCCCTTTCCCACTCTCCCCCTGTCAAGGAGTTCTTGTTAGGACCAGGAGTTACACTTTCAGCTCTTCTTCCTTCCACTCCTCATTTGTCCATCCTGCCACCTTGCCGGAGATGGACTGATTCCCTGAAGTCGATGGCATCATCCCTGAGCAAGGCTTGGAGAATCTGGCCCACCTGACCAAGTAGTTTTTGAATAGAGACTAACAGATCATCATCTTTCCTCACTTCCGCTTCTTCCCGAGAGCCATTTTTGGTTTTTTTGTTTGTTTGGTTGCTCGCTTGCTTGCTTTTACTCCTCTCTCCCTCCTGTCCTTCCCTCCATGGGAATGCTTATACACGTACTATATTACAAATCAGATAATAATCAAAACCCCTAATTTATTGCCCAGTCATTACAAACTCCACTCTCCCCAGCCCATCAACCTGTATAGAACTTCAAGTGGCATAGGAAACTAGCACAGTGGAATTTTCTGAAAATCTAAGAAAACCCCACCCATCAGGCATATGTGCCTTAATTCATATATGGGAATCTGATTATCTACAAAGCCTCATACCTCTTCTTTAACAGTCTAGAAACTCACCCTAATGGAAAGAACTAATCAGTTGGCCAAAAACATTCCCCAAACATTACCCAAGCGGGACTTTTCCCTAACTCAGGGGCATTAAAAAAAAGAAAAAAGTCTACACGTGCTGTTTTATTTTGCTTTCCGTGTGTCAAAGGTAGCCAGATCATTAATAATCTTCATTCAAAGCGTGTTAATACAAAGGTTAATCTTTGGCACCCACACTTCAGCATGGGGGCAGCCCACGAAGCTCTTTGCAGGTAAGCTGGTTTGCAGAAGGCCCATTGCCAAATACAGACATCGGTATTAAGTTGTGAGGAGAAGGCTGCCATGTGTATTTTAGCAGAATGACTAATCTCCAAAGGCCCTGAGTTAACCCGCACCATTTTTGAAGTCATATTCTTGGATTCTTTTTTTTTTTTTTTTA